TTTCTGCATGTTCATCCACAGTCCTTCACGTCAGGTCCACGAAGGTAGAGTACAGGTGGATCCGCATCTTCTGGCACTTCTCCTGAAGTTGACGGGCGGCGAAGATCATATCCGTTGTCCCACGATGACGACGGAAGCCGCATTGGCTTTCCGGCAGAAGGCCCTGTTCCAGATGGTTGTTGAGGCGGTTGAGCAGGATGCGAGCGAAGATCTTCCCGGCGATGTTCAGCAAGGAGATGCCGCGGTGATTGTCGCAGACTTGGCGATTCCCTTTTCGCTTGTAAAGGTGCACGATAGTTGCGTCCTTGAAATCTGGCGGGACTTCACCTTGACGCCACATCTCCTGGAAGAGCGCAGTCAGGTGATCCATCAGTTGGGGACATCCGTGTTTGTAGACCTCAGCAGGGATTGCGTCTGATCCGGGTGCTTTTCCGCTGGAGAGCTGTTGCACGGCCCTGATCGTTTCCTGGAGAGATGGCGGGAGGTCGAGGTCCACGTTAGTCGCCACTTGCGGCAAGCGGGCGATGGCGGCGTCGGAGATGACGGAGGGGCGGTTGAGGACGCCTCGGAAGTGCTTGGCCCATCGCTGCAGGATTTGTGTCTTCTCAGTCAGGAGAGTGCTGCCACCGGCGCTGAGGTTAGGAGCAGTGCCCTTCGTCGGCGGACCGTAGAGAGCTTTGATTGCGGAGAAGAAGTTCTTCCATTCGTTCCGGTCCGCGTACCCTTGGATCTCCTCAGCTTTGCGAGCAGTCCAGGCGTCGTGCATGTCGCGCAGTCGTTGCTGAAGGTGTCGGCGACTGCGATAGAAAGCAGCTCTGTTGTCGTCAGTGGGATGGTTTACGTAGGCTTTGTGTGGGCGGTTCTTCTCGGCGTGCAGTCCTGGTGTTGGCGGCGTGCGCGACCGAGAAAGGCTAGCGCCATCAAATGGATAGTGTCTCGTAGTTGGCACCAGCGATTCTCGGCAGAGGCGTTCTTGGCAGCGGCGGCATCGGCGGCGGTAGCGATACAAAGGTTTTCTAGCCGTTGAGCTAGCTTATTGCTGAAATGAAGATGGTGTGCGGGCAAAGCCAACAAGGCAACATTCAGCTTACCTGGGGGTCGCTAACCTTGTGGTCTCTTGAGAGGCTTTAGGCGAATACGCATCTTCGAGATGACGAGGCGATGGTCGGTCCACCCGTCAGCACCCGCGATCGCCTTTGTCACCAGCACGTCCCGCTGATCTCGCCTCCGGACGAGGACATAGTCCAGCAGGTGCCACTGACGCGACCGAGGATGCCTCCAGGTGGCCTTCTCTTGCTCCGGCAGACAGAAGAAGGTGTTCGTCAGGATGAGGCGGTGTTCTGCGCAGGTGCAGAGAAGCAGCAGACCATTGTCGTTTGAGCCGCGGAGACCGTGGGCACCCAGCACTCGTCTCCAGGCAGTATGGTCTGTGCTGACACGGGCGTTGAAGTCACCAAGGACAATCAACTTGTCCGCCTTCGACACAGTCGCCAAGAGGGCGTGCAGGTCCTCGTAGAATTTGTCTCTAACGGCAGTGCTGTTTTGCACATCCGCAGTCGCTCACTCACACCTGGACACGCGTTGCACTGTCATCTGTCCGACATGCATGACCGGTTGGAACCGCCATCACAATCCTGTGCAGAATAGGGTCCTCCTGATTTTGTCCTCTTCTTCCCCTAGACGGGACTTTCTGTGTAATTGTGGTTATCAAGGTGCATCTTTTCCCCTAGATTATGCATATTTTTATAATTTCATGTGAGTTTCATATGAGTTCTCCAAGGCGAACAACGTAGCATTAATTTCGCGTGTCAGCGCCTTTAAAGGGTTCGTTGCACATGGGACATAGAACTGTCGGTCTTCCAGTAAACCTTTGGCTGTTTGAAGGTAGTCTGTCCTGTCCAGTACAACTGTGGCGCGTCCTCTGTCCGCTGGCACGATGACCAGCCATCATCAGCCAGTCATGCCCAACCCAAAGTGTTGCAACTCCTGGGCCTCCCTGTGAGAACACATCTACCATTGTATAGACCCTGTTGAAACCGACAGGACAGAGAGCCCGTGGCTATGTAGTCCGTGCGCTGGACTTCCAACCAAAAGATTGCGGGACCGAGCCCCGGAGCTGCAAAGCCTGGGGTTGGGGTATGGCTGGTTGATGATGGTTGATAAGCCAGAAACGGTTGGCTGTGCTCCGAATGAGTATGCCACACTACGCGATCGGTGAGCGTCCCTCTACCACCGACAGCGATTTTGGATATTACGGCTATCGCGGAAAGCAGTTTGTCCTATTTCCTAAAGAGTGTTTAAAGGATTAGTTATTTTTGACTTCTAGTATGATTTTGAAAGTGCAGAGACCAAAACGCCCCTGTTGAATAGTATCATCTCAACTTTAAAGACACTGATTAACAGCTATACTGGTATACTGTTCAGCGTATTTATTTTCTTGGACTATAGTGGCTTCGTCAACGGTTGGCTAGTTATCCCAAAAATGTTGTATTTAGCAGCATATGCCTTCATCGCATATTTGTCTGGTTGTAGCGTACGACAATAAAGTCGAGGGGAAATAAAATATGCCTGGAGATTGCAGTTAAACCTAAGGTTAAGGTTAAGATTACGGTTAGGGTCAGGATACAGAAATAGGTACGCCTAAATGCGGGCTCAGCCGTGCCATCCACTCACCTTCCCCCCCCCCCACCTCCGGTCTTCCTGACTCTTTCTTGACACCGAGTGCAGGTGGGGAGCAGGAGGAGAGAGTGTGGTAGAGGCTGTGCAAGTCCACTCTCACCAAAAAACTAGTCTCTATCCCCGTGTTCTAGGAAAAATATATCTAAGACGTGTCGGGAAGAAAGTGCTACAGAGTCAGCATGATAAGGATGCTGCATTTCCAAACGCATTAACTATGAACAAAATATGATGACTGACTAAGCGTATTGGATTGAATATTCGATTCTCGCTGGCCTAAACACAGTACCTTCGACTGAGTCCTAGTTTTAGTGCGGTTTCAAAGATGACTTCGCTGTATTTGTGGGCAAGTGTTAATTTATTGCCGGAATCGGACGATTCATGGTGAGTATTGCCTTCTCCGCTCCAGGACTGTAGCAAAATGTATCTCTTAGTCCGCGTCTGTGTGCATTGCCGTAAATCGTGGCGGTTAGGTGTACCCGATGAGCGCCCTATAAATAGGATCCGAAACGGACCCGCGAACCATTTGGAATGTTCAACAGCAAACGACCAATTGCCCTGACTTTCTCCCTACTGTTGGTGTCCTCGTCTGCTCTGGTTTTACCGGCCCCAAAGGCCAGTGGGGATCTCGAGAGATGTGTATGTGAACGCTGCGACCTTGAGGCAAACCCACTGCGCCCTGTTAGCTCGGACTGCCATGGGTGCGGACCAATAACCTGCTGCATTTACTGTGTTCCTCAACGTAGACGCAGATGTTGCAGGCAATATTGTTGCCTCCTGCCATGGGGGTCCTACTGGTGATGTTGAGTACTGTTGCTATTTCAACGTCAGTAATTTCGATAAATATTTTCACTAATTGTTTGTTTTTGTAGTTGGCTGTCGTTGCCCTTCCTATCGTAGGTTCGAATCCCACCACGGTTGTCGAGTCTTTCACAAGTGGGTCAGATAAAACGTTTCTAGGTTTAAAAAACTGAAACTCATGCACCGAAATTGATGTTGTCCTGTGTATTATTATCCAATGAGAAAGTTCTAGAGTCGGTTTCGACGCTGACCATTGTGTGCTCCACAGCAAGGCGGAACAGGGATGGTGACTTGCGCGTGAGTTAGTTTCAACCGAAAGCAGACTTTCGCAGCATCTACCGCACTCTCTCTTCCCCACGCCCCAACTTGAACCAGGTGTCAAGACAGAGTCAAGAAGACCTGAAGTTGGAGGAGGGCGCAGGTGGCTGGCGCGGCAGGAGCCGCACCTAGGCGTGCCATCACACCTCCTGGTTCACAGCATACACTTGCCCAGAATTTTTCACCAACATCAACAACAACACCCCGAAAGGATTCAGAAGGACGAGAATGATGACTGAGCAGCCATTCCCATCACCTGTGTTTCTAACAGGAGCGAAGGCGCATGACAGGGCAGAAGATGTCGGCGAACTGCTAGCGCATACCTGGTTGTGAGGTCCATGGTTTGCTGATACTGGCCTAGCACACGCTTACAGACCTTTTGGCCTACTATTGTCTGATAGAGATTTATTGAATCGAAGTCAGTATAACGTATCATTATCAGCGAATTGCTCAGCTCTTGCTATATCAATCCATCCGCATCTCCACGAATATAGTCCTGACCTCATGACCGGTGTGTCAATAAGTCCCTATCGTGGATAGAGTTCATCAAGGGAACATTTCTCGTCTTAGTTGGCGCGGTACTCCCCCGTGTCACCTCCCCCCCCCCGGCTACAGCGAATTTCTGTCGGTTTTTTTATATCCTCAAGACCACAAATGTGCCTGCGACAGAAGGACCGTCCTCGCACGTACTCTGCATTCCCTTTGTTTTGATGGGCAAACTGTATTTCGTCGATAGTGTACTTTGTGAGTTTTTGAAATGGCTACCCGGCTATTAGAGACGAGACGTCCTCGTCGATGCGACAGAGTTTCTCTCTTCACTTAAAATACAGGATCACAACTAAGGCTATTACGCTTTCGTACTTGAAATACCATACTCTCTAACCTTACCGTAAGTTTTGGAACCCACCAACTCTGTGCGGTATTCTCACTGACCACGTGACAAAAACGCCTACTTACAACAATTGCGTAGTTGATTATATCTCGTCATTTTTCGAAAGGTTTTGCGCACGTCATTGTGCTTCAACTGAGCTCAGACAGATTTGTCACCGGATGATTTCGGGTAAAATCATTTACAAAATCATCCGCCGTGAGTGCTACTCCGAAGGATCGCATTTTTTAATGTTAGACTTTGTCGACAAAACAGTGTAGTCTTCCGATGAGTGCAATAGTAATCTTCCATTGTAGCTAAGGTCATCACATCTAGATAAATCCTACTTCAGTCCATCACTCAACCATTGGCTGGACACAAATTTGGGGCATATGGATGTCCAGGTAGGGGTTACGTCAGGTAGGGGTGACGGACTGCTAAACGAGTTTCATGCACGACTTGGTTGCTCCGAAACGGCCCTTAACTACCAAACCAGCTCTCATACGTGGCTCGCCGAAGTTATGCTCCTGCAGGACTACAGTTCCGAACAACGAGCCAGCGAGTGTGCGTGTCCACATACCGGTAGCGCTGATCCCTGATCGCTCCCTCCCCCCTCCCTCCCTATTGGAAAAATGTCTACAGAGATGGCAACATGCAATTTCGTAGGGAGATTAAGATTAAAAAATAGATAGGGACGCTCACCGAATGCATTACAGAACTCACAAGTACTGTTGTTCATTAAGACTTAATCTCGAGTAGCTGTTCAGCCGCTAGCATTATGGACAGAATGCCCTTCCTGATAAAGACAAGGGAGACTGGAATGTCCATTTCTGGGTGTGGCTGGTTGGTGACTGCTAACAGGCCAAAAATGGTCATCCCAGTCTTCCCTCTCTTTGTCCAGAATGTCATTCTGTCTATAATACTAACCGCTGAGCGGCGGCCGGTGGAGATCGACATTCAGCCTTAATGCACAACGGGACGTGTGAGTTCCGTAATGCAATCGGTGCGCATCCTTTTACCATTGTTAATATACCCTATCGCAACCAACAGGGCAGCCAGCCCGTGGTTCACTGGTTAGGGTGTTTAACTTCTAACCAACAGTCTGCAGGATGGAGCCTGGCACAGTCTTTCCGGTTTCCCTTTGTCTTTGTCGATGATGCGCGTATCGTGTATTTTAGGGTAGTAGGCAATGTCCTTGATGACCCAATTGAAAATGGTACATATAATATAAACGTTAAAAACCCATCTTACTAACATTTTGTCAGTAACATACTGTTCACGGAAAACGTTTTTACTGTGCGGAACTTCAAGGGATGCAGCAGGCGGTCTTTTCAATGTACATACGACATTTTAAGTGCAACTATATACAATCTAACTTGCTTCGTCTTTCGACTAAGCAAAGTTGTGACCCACGGGGAATTCTGCGGCCACCTGAGATGACTCAGTAGCCGTATTTAGGGACAGCATCGCTAGTTCTCACGGGAAGGGGATGGAAAATGGACCCCAATAGAAATTCCGGGAATGCACGTTATCCGCAAGCAGATCATGACTCTTGGTCCAAACACTCTCCCAGCCCATTTCCTGCCCCACCCTAAGCTGAAACTGCAGATTCCAAAGTACTGGGTGGAACACTTTAGAAGCATCCTCAATCAGCCGCTCACAGTCTCCGACGGCGCCGTTAGACAGTCACCTTTACGTGGAACCGAACACCAAGCTGTACACCAGATGTGCGGCAGCCAAACACCGGTCGAGGTTTACAAGTTCAAGGGCCCTCGGCTGGTTGGCAAGCCGATTTCGCTCCTCCAGAAGGCATGGCAGAAACGACAAGTCTCCCGGAAATTCAAGGATGAGGCAGTCGTCCAAATCCTGAAGTCCAGAGTAAACAGCCAACCTTTTAATAAGCCCAAAGATATCTCGCTGCTCAACGTCGCAGTGGAAGTATTCTCCTGCGCATTGCATATCCTTCTGAACAGGCGCTTGGCAAGTGAATCTTCTCGAAAATTGTGTTTGAATTTATAAGTGGCTGTAACGTCTCATCAGAAAGTTGCGCATTCTTATCACGCCGGGGTCACCAGTGCGTAGCGTCCGATAGGCGTCTGACAGTGCCACAATCATCAGGTGAAGGCCCGAGTACCAGGAAAAGGCAGAAGTTAGAAGGATGGAGAGTTTGAGGTAGACTTAACCATGAGTTTCTTTCTTAACCAGCAGCTGCCGCAGGCAAGGCCAGGGTTTGTGTCGACTGCGTCCGGTAATGTCTGAAAGAGAGCGAGATAGTGGTCTGAGCTGCGGGGGCAAGTTTAAGCACTGCCCAGATGGTTCGTGTTGCATTCATCGAGGGGTCATGTGTCCAATGGCCTATGCTTAATCGGCCGCGGACTGGCGTGTTCAAGTGGCGCATGGGCGGCCGGATACGCCTGGACGAACGTACCAGAGATATAGCCGACCAAGGTGCTGAAGGCCAACCCGCCTGGAATTATACGCGTCTGTTTTGCAGCAGGGAATTTTCCGGTAGACTTTCTTGACCAGGAGTTGTCTGAGACCCGAAGCAACAAGGGTGGCCGGTACAGAGATAATAGAGTCACTACAGAGCCGCGAAAAAGTCGGATGACCTTTACAGATCGCCATGTACAAGAGATTCGTCCAGAGATGCGGGCTAGCCTTAACACCTGGAAGGAGGCACTATCACTGGGACAAGAGCTTTATTAGCCTGACGTTTCGGATTCCTGCTCGAACCGAGCCTCAGAGACAAAAAAGATACGGGTGGTTCATGCGTAAGGGGCTGCAGTATTTATAGGCTGCAGTAGCCATGCCACCGCATACCTATGAATATTCAGGGTTCCCCCCACCCTTCATCAGGGATTATTGCACGCGGCGTGATGGCCGATATTCGCGTCGTTAATTGCTGCAATTTCATCACGTGCGTTGGATGTTGGCGTGATGATTGCTCGACCATCTGACGCCCTGACCCGGGTGTTGGGAAGAATGTTCCCCAGTGCGCTCCCCGCGTGGCCAATTACTCCGCCTAAGCGAAGTCTCAACACGCTGTATTGAATGGGAAGATCATTGTACTTGTTAATAGACTGGGGGCCAGTAAGCCATGACTCAAGCAGCACCCGGCTCACGCGGTTGTCACCTCTTGCGAGAATTTCGGCCTCGTCGGATTTGAATGTGTGGACGGAACCCGTCGAATGAGCCGCAACTTGACAGCTGGCGTCATTTCTCCGCACGGCTGCAGCCTGTTTAGCCATTCGCGTTCGGAGCTGTCTTCCGGTTTCTCCGACGAAGTTGCTTTGTCCGCAACTGCACCAGATCCGATAAACGACTCCAGACGTTTCTAGCCGTGGCAGTGGGTCTTTCGGTTGCATTAGCGGACGCCTGATGGTTGCCTCCGGTCTGTGTGCCACTCCAACCCCAAGTGGTGCGAGAAGGCGGTCGACAGCTTCTGAAACGTTCTTGACATACGGAAGTGCCCGCGAAGATTTGGTGTCCGTGCGGTTAGGCCTTTCGTCCCTTTTGCGTATGCACCGGTTGACAAAGTTGCGCGGGTAACCATTGGCTTTGAATACCCGTCGGAGGCATTGTAGTTCGGCAGTCTTGTCTTCCGGCTCACTGCAGTGCGTTTCGACACGCCGATAGAGCGTCCTTACACAACTGCGTTTGTGACTGATTGGGTGATTGCTGCTGAAGTTCAGTACTTGCATCGTATTTGTCGCTTTCCTGAATACTTTGGCTTTTAGTCCACCACAATCCTTGCGGCATGCGAGGACATCCAGGAAGGCCAGCGCGTTGTTCTCTTTCTCCTCCATCGTAAATTGTATGTCCGGGAAGACCGCATTCAGACGTTCCATGAATGTCAGCAGTTGATCCCGGTCGATAACGACGAAGGTATCATCCACATACCGGGCCCATAACTTCGGTTTGTGGTACTGGAAGACCAGCGACTCTAACCGTTGCAGGACCGCCTCGGCGATGAATCCCGAAATATGCGAACCCATTGGTTTTTCCTTCACCTGTTCGTGGATTGTCCCGTCGAACGTGAAGTACGTCCTAAGACAGAACTTCAGGAGCTGAATGACTTGGGCGCGTCCAAGACGATTCTCCGTTTCATCGTATTTGCTTTGTAGGGGCACCTCGATTGTCTCGATCGCCATGTCCTGGGGAATGGAAGTAAAAGCGAATGTAACATCAAAAGTTGCCATGTAAACGAGTCCGAGAATCTTGACCTCCGGCTGCGCCAACTACAAAGAACTCCATATCAAAGTCAGTGGAACGCAAATCGCAAGTGTGGAAAAATTCGACTGCATCCGAAGAACTGTTTCAAGGAATGCCAAGACTGAATATGAAATTGCCCATCGGATCTCCAATCACAGCTGGTCAAAAAACTCAGTTTGGAGTAGTCGTTGCCACCACCGGGACCGAAAACATCCGTGTATAAATCCGTCATCCTGAAGCCGTTCTGGTTGGGGCGGAGA